CCTTACTGGCTTTCAAAAGCTGTGAGTGGGTAACAATTTATTCTACATAATTCTTGATTAACTAGACGACTCCACGTAGAATAGGTGCGACCGGGATGCGACCCACAGTTATGGAACAGAGACAGATAAATATTGCCATTCATGTGAAATGCACGGCAGCATTCTAGTGCCATCTAATAGATATCATGGGAAGTTTGTAAACATAGATGGCTCTAGTTGTAGATAACGTTATACAATTGTTTTTCGTCATTTGAAAGCGTTTTTTCGAATTTTAAGTCGTAGTACCACAAAGGTGGTGTTAGGTTCTTGTCAATTAAAAACTAGTCAAGACTTGTGATGCTTAAAATAATATATCAAAATTGTTTGTCATTATAAGATTTTGCTGGTAGGGAGCAAATCAACATGACATAGATTTAGACTGACGCCAAAATTATTATTATTTATTTATTTATTTAACGTCGTTTTCAATTGCTATAATAGTTTCATACAGTAAAGTTGTTACCGAATTGGTATGTATGTAGAAGGAAGCAGTGAATTTGTTTGGAGGGATGGAGGAAAAACACAAAAAATCGCAGTCAGTATAGTCGTTCTCTGGGTCAAAATGTTAACCCGTGACTTCTCGAATATGGAGGAAGGCTAACCTCCCAATCACGATATTCAGCCGTGAAAATATAATAAATCACCAGTCTTCCTGACTTGCCCATGCTTTTGCCAATCTGTTTCTGGTACTCATATTATCCTTGCATTCACTCTGACTGTGTCAGTAATCTGTTAGTTCACTAGTTTTATGGATTTTTATTTGTGCTGTAATGCATATGGTTGACTGTTGTATGGGTTAATTTCACATTAACTTTTCTTATACAGATCAACATGGTGAGGCCTGGTAAAACTATAGGAGACCCATATTCTTTTACCAATCTGTTGCAGTGAAGCATGAATTTATGGTGAGCACTGGTTTTTCTTACCTAGTAAGTTTAACTGTGTAATCTACACTTAACACTTACACAACACTACACTTAACATTGTATTCTGTAACTAATTTCATGAAGCAGTTTCCCATTTTGAGAAGCTTATAATCATGCAGTTGGTGATGAAATTCTCAACCTTATGGAACCCAAAGGTTCATTACTATGTTCAGTAGAGTCCACCATTGAACCTCATTCTATGAGAAATAGATTTAAGTCCACATCCTGACATCTCTTTCTTCAAGATTTTTGACCAAAATATCTGCTTTTCTGTCATTCTGCATGTAGTTATGTGCCTCACCCATCCTTTGTGATTTACTCTCATTATGCAGTATTCTCTTCAGCTTCCATTTCTTCCCATTGGGTGACAGCCCAAGTTCATTCACACTCATACAAAACAATGGCTAAAATTATAATTTTGTGTATTTTAATCCTGCAACATTGATAAACGTTCTATAAATGAAAACAGATTTTATCACATGGCATAAATGTATACTTACCAAACATACAGCTATGCAGCAAAACTGAAACCTTTCTTGAGGTTTTGGTTTACTGATGAAAATCTATGAGGCAGACTGGTTTCATTTAAGTTGTGGGAACATCCCACATTATCACGCATTTCTGCAACGCTCGCTCTTCACATCACTTTTCACCATCACGCACACTAACCAATCAGATTGCTTGAAACGTTCGCATTTATACTGCGCTCGCTGCTAGCCCGCGTCTACATCATTACGCGCGCTAGCCAATCAATTCTTCCTCCTAAATTTCGAGTTTCGCTCCGCCCACCGAGCAGTGTATAAAAAGGAGCAGCTTCGAACAGCCAACATCAGTTGACTTCAGTCTACAATCAAGCCACACCAAGCAACAACAGTCAGCAGGCTTCGTCGCCAGCGCTCGGTCTTCGGAGGCATCGGCAGGCTGCGCCAGGCACGACTGCCTCGGCTCTCCGGCTCTCACAACCCGACTCACTGGGGCACCTCGCCTGGACTCGCCGGTGGTCGTGTTACTGTCCGACCCACTGGGCATCTGGCATAGCCACTGCCTCATGACTCCTACGACCGCGCTCAACGACTAGCCTTTCACCAGCAGCCGCCGTGCTGCGATCAAGCAACCTCCAACTCACGCTGCCGCACGGCAACCAAACAACCTCCAGCCACGGCCGCACTGCAGCCAGGCCACTCACCGCAACTAGCCTCTCTCCTTACCGGCGTGCGCTGCGCTACCTCTCCGATCAAACATCTCAGCAACCACGGTTCTTTTCAGGACCAACAAACTGTTCTGAAGAAGTGGGTTGTCATCGGAGTCATGACAAAACTCCACATTAAGAGCCCCACAAAGTCATTACTTCTAAGTATTATAATTTATTTAATGTTCTGAGTTATTACTCATTTGTTAGAAAATGTTTTCAAGTAACCACAGCATGTGATATTTATTTTAATATTTCCGGACAAGTTCATATATAAAATACACATTTGGTATTTACGTAAAAACTGTCTCATTCTTTGGTTATAATTCCATCAACATAATAATTAACTGGTCATTGAAAAGTAATTAAAATAGTTATAACTGAAACCTGAAACACACACTTTTCTTTGATGAGTCATCTGGTATCAATAAGTGGAGCAAGGGAGAACAAATCACAAGCTGCAAATATTGAAAATTATGATGGCACTATTATACATGGAACCACATACAAGTTTTGTTCTTTTGGAAGAAACACTAGACTTTCTCTTGAATTTAAGAACAAACATGTTTGTACTATGTACTATGGAAGAAATAACTGAAGTAGTTTTTTAGTGGTGACACTGAAATTCAAAATCAGCAAATTTCTTTAATTAGAAACTGCAAAGTAAAATCTGTCAACTTGAATCTGTTGATGGATTAAACAGAAAATGTTGTGGGTGAACATAATTTTTTTTAACAAGCTTTTCCACAAAGAGAAGTAATTTTCTAAAACAAAGCTAAAAAATAAGGATTTTCCATAGCCATTTCCTCTTTCACTTTTATAGCTTGCATTTGGTCATGATTGTGAGCATACATGAACATACTCATGTCAGGTTGTGGGCAGAAAAAGCATAGCTGTAGTGTCATCTGTCCACTTCTCACACATAACGACAGTAGCATGACTAAGTGGTGTGTCTATCCTAAGAGATATCTTGCAAGGGAAGCAGTAGGAGCAGAGACTGGTGGTTAAGGGATTTCATATTAAAACACAGATTTGAGTGAATTGTGTTATCTTATCAAGCTGTAAGAACTATTAACATGGTTTGAACATACAGTGAAAATGTCTTCGGTTCAAATTATCAAACGTTCTTTGTGTGCAAGAATATGTTTACAGTATCAGTATAATACAATTTTCTGCTCACAAATGGCCTTAAAAACTGTAGCATATCTTATATATCAGCGTAGTTTAGGGAAAAAGTCTTAATTTCCCCTTTCTATATCATTACAGGGCCATGCCATAGCTTAGGTAGGCACTCTATTGCAGCAGTTCTGGTTCAATCCCACGTCATTTCATGTGGGATTTGTGATCGACAGAGTGACACTGGGACAAGTTTTCTCAAAGTACTTTGGTTCCTCTTTCAATTCTATTTCCATGAACTGTTCTACATTTATTAATTGTACTATTATATACATTATATAGTCTCAATACTGATAATATTGTGGAATAACCAACTTGAAAAAAGCACAATATGCATCTTTTACACTGGGAAATATGGTATATTGCAATTTACAGATTTATAAAATGAATCTGAATAAACTTAAAGAGCATTGGCAGGGGTTTATTTGCTGTTTCAAAATATTTTTTTACTGTGGTCACAAACCTTAATAGTCAGACATCTGTAAAAAGGCATTTCAGTCTGAAATGAAGGCACTATTATGCACAGATAACTAATAGATCTTCACTTTAAGTACTGCCCTTGAAAGAATATCTGCAAATGTAGCCTGTATCTTAAGGCAGAGAGTATGGTTATCTGCAGCACTGATCTTGCCATCGCTGTTTCCTCCAGTCATGGATGAGAGCACTAAACCATCTTGCCGGGCTGTGAGGGATGCCTCTGACATACATATACGTCCCAGCTGCATCAGTAGTGAAATCACATCATCTACAAGAGGAGGGAATGCTTCACAGATACGTACCAGTGCTGGTAAACATGGCCCAAACAGTTCTTGACGACTCCAGCTGGGCAGAACTGAAATTATAAAAAGGTATGGCACTCAAATATGCTGAAATTGGGCAAGGTGCAGAGTAGCACATATACATATGCCTACACACCACTCCACATTTGTAATGACAGGGAAAAATATGTGATACTGTATTTCAGATATTTGGATGTAAAAAAAATTGTCATAATTCTTTGTTTATTTCTTTCAAAACTTGTTGTAGCAAAATTTGTTGTCTGAGGCTTTAATATTATGTTTAATTATTTCTCANCAGATTTCTTATATTTTTCTTCTACCCTGAAGATGGAGGCGATACGTTCCTCCGAAACGTCGGTTAACACCACATATACACGGTGCCAAATCCCAGAAGACTGCTTTCTTCATTTCTCACATTTGTTCATTCTGACAACTCTGAAACAGGAAGTATGAATTGTATAGCAGTCAGGAAGAAGTACTGAGTATCATGAACCTCAGACATTCGCCAAAACTAAATTCATGGAACACATTATAAATGTTGAGTTCTTAGAGGCCTCACAGCAAATGGAGACTGCACAGACAGCTTCATGAAGGAACTTACCACCAAGTAGTGTAGACAGAGTGTTGATGGCGAGACGAGCAACACTCAGAGATTTGGGAAGCGCATACTGCACTGCAAGATGAGACACCAGATCCATGGCAAATACTTGCTTCTCCAGTGATGGCTGGCTCAGCAACTCAGGAATGAAGTCCAGACAAATATGCATAGACGGAATGCCTGGAGCTGTTATAGGGAGCAGTTCTTGAGGATAGCCCTGCAATAACACACTCTGATTTCCAACTTGGTACTCAGTCATATACATTTCACAACAGAGAATTTCATTGATTTATTATGACACAACCTTCTTGACACTTGTATTAAAAAATTTGATAATTTGGGAGACTGATGTGTTCCAACGTTCATGTAGATGACTTTACCTTCTTTTTCTTTGGATGTTTCCACTTTTATGTGGGTTGTCAGTTGTTAGCTGATTATTTAATGAATGCTGTCAGTATCAAGCTCATATAGCATTGGATAACAGAATGATGAATGAATGTTGAGCAGTTGGTGGAATGGGAACTGGGAACAGAAGCAGAATTTCTCAAAAACTTACTCCAGTGCCACTTAGTCCACCAAAAATCCCAGATTAACTGAACTTGTGATGGAACCCAGGCTACCACGGTGGGTTACTCATTTGATCAATGTCATGGCCAGGTTGTCTGTCTTTTCACATCTTCCATGTATGCTAAATGCCCTTCCCATCCCATCCTTCATTTGTAACGTTTGGTTAAGAGCATAAATTATGAAGCTTCTCAGTGTATTTTTCCGCAGACTCTTGTCACTCTCTTCAGCACCATGTTATCATACACACAAAACATTTATTATAGTTTTGTACACCAATATGTAAAATATTCCTTACCATATTTTTATGCGTACTGATTATACAGGATGTATCAAAACTCGATGACAAAACTTCAGGATCGGACTCCTCATATAGAGAGAAGAAAAAAAGTGTATGAGAACATGGTTCCGCAAATGCATAATTACAGAGTTATCCGACCTTTTAGTAATGTTAGTGCAATCCGACACTCCCAACACTGTTGCACTGTTACACTGAATTTGTCTGTAACGCCAGCTGGAACACTCTGGTCACATATCAGAGGAGATGTTCAAAGTGACCTCCTGCCTCAATACAGGCCTCCGCTCGTCATCGCATTGAGTGCTGCACATGATCAAAAATGCCCGGTGTAGTGCATACTGTCTGACAGGGTGTCACAATGCGCGCATGGAGAGTTGGTACATCAGCAACAGCAGTCGAATGCACGACAGACTTTTAAGTGTCCCCACAGGTAAAAGTCCAGGGGGTTTAATTCAGGAGAGTGTGGTGGCCAAGCAACCAGTCCACTTCTACCTATCCAGCGCCCAGGATAATGTACATTAAGGTGCCTGTGGGCAAACAGACTGAAATGTGTGGGAGCACCATCATGAAGTACAGCTATCGACGGGATGCTAGTGGCATGACTTCCAAGTAATCAGGCAATGTAGTATGCAAGAAATCTGTGTAGTTCCGTCCATTAAGCTTGTCCAGAAGAACGTAGGGTTCAAACAATGCCTGCCCAGATGTTAGTGGTGAACCTCTGTTGATGAGACGATTGGATAGTTGCACAAGGATTTGTGTCCGCCCACACGTGCTGATTATTAAAATTTTGGATTCCGTCCCTTGCAAATGTCGCCTCAGCCGTGAACAACACAACAGCTGTGAAGTTAGGCATCGCACCACACTGTTGCAAGAATCACCAGCAGAACGTTACTCTTGTACAATCCACAGGAGACAAGGCTTGTACACGCTGTAGATGATATGGATACAGGAGCTGTTCTTGTAGCAGTCTCCAGATCATGTGTGTGATATTCTTCTGTAGGCCTAACTGCCTTTGCTGAATCCAGGACTCTGATCCACAGCGTTGGGTACATCTTCCTCGTCCTCAGGGACTGTACTTCTTGGCCATCCCCATGCCTGGTGGACGTATGAAACTCCTGTGTTCGCATAGGCAGTGATGAATTCCTTCAAATGTCTTTTGGTCTGGCAATCTGCGCATTGGGTAGCATTCCTGAAACAAGCGATGCACCTCCGAAGCATTACCATCAGCCAAACCACACATGTAATGCATGCTCATGAGTTCTTCGTTTGTGTACATTATGTATCACTTCAAAGCAGACTGCACACAACACTTAATAATCACAGATAACAGGTGTCATACACATCTTTCGGATACGGCTATAACTACTTAACTGGAGATGACAGGATATCACCCGCGCATCCTAGAGGTATTCAGGCCCACATCAAATTGATTCGCAACATGATTACTTGTGTAACAATTGTAACCGGTGTCTCACATTTTTATTCCAGCAAACAGGATGTGTCTGCGTGCACTCCGTAAATTACATGCTCAGATAACTCTGTAATTATGCATTTCCAGACCCATGTTGTCATACACTTTTTTCTTCTTTCTATATGAGGAGTCCGTTCCTGAAGTTTTGCCGTTGAGTTTTGATACATTCTGTATATTGTTTTTCATATCTGAAGAAATACGAAGGGCGTTCTGTAAATAATGCCTCCTATTTTTTGTGTTAATATGTAACGTCTGAGATGGATGTTGGTGGTGGTGTAGTAAAGGTTGAACCTTCCCGCCAATGTACTGTTAGTTTGGTTGTTGTGCGACAGATAGCGACAGCAGAGCAGTCTACGAAAATGGTGTCTGACATAGAAGTGCGCATGAAACAGAGATTTGTTATTGAATTTCTCACAGTCCATGGAGTGGCAACATCCGGATTCCCCAAGAAAAAAGAAGTTCAAGACAAAGTCATTGGCAGGGAAAGTGATGTGCATGGTCTTTTGGGATAGGCGGGGTGTGATTTTCTTGGATTTCCTGGAGCCTGGTGAGACTGTCAATTCTGAACGCTACAAGACGACGCTGACTAAGCTGAAGCCTGCATTTCCCGAGTCAGGCCAGAGAAGCAGACAACCTTTCGCTTGCAGCACGATAACGCTAGACCCCATACCAGTTTGGCGACCACCGCGCACATTGCAAAGTTTGGCTGGACTGTCCTACCACATCCACCTTACAGCCCCGAATTAGCACCTTCAGACTTCCATCTCTTTGGGCCTATGAAAGATGGACTACATGGGCAACATTTTCCAGACAATGATGCTGTCATTGCAGCTGTAAGAAAGTGGCTAGCCTCTGCTGGTGCAGACTTTTACAGGCGCAGCATACAGGCTCTTGTTCATCGCTGGCAAAAGTGCATAATGAATGGTGGTGATTATGTGGAAAAATAACTGTAAGTAGCTGAAATCTTGCTCTATTTAACTGCATTATTATGCTTTCTGTATCTGTTGTAGTTTTCTTTAAAAAAAATAGGAGGCATTATATATGGAACGCTCCTTGTATCTATGTGAACTTCTTACCTGGAAGTGAACCAGTTTTGCCAGTGAAGTATCTGCAATGAACACCTGATGCAGGAATGAGCACACAAGGCTGCGCACTTCACGCAAAGCCCATAACTGCCCTGGTTTCTTCTGTATAAGCAAATATATCAATATATTAATGGATTCTGTGTATTCAGAGTGAAGGACAGTACCTCAATCAGTATTACTGTTTTGTTAACACAAATTAAATTCCCTAATTCTTTTATCTCAGCTCATAAAATGAAATGAGGAAAAGCTCCATATATACCCTGTCTTCTTCAGTCTCAAGACATGCCTCCAACAGTATCTGTACAGCCACACTTTCCTGTGTAGCCACTAGAGCCACACGCAGTTCTTCTCTCTCTGCCTCATTAGTAAGCTGACCAGTACGCTCCATTAGAGGGCAATCTTGCAAATGGCGTGACAGTTGACTGCGTGATGCAGCCAAGGATGCTTCTAGCACACGCAGTACAACACTTAATGCAGCTGCACACCTGCCATAACAATAAGTAAAAGAAAAGAACTGTTAAATACTCTTCTGTTCCATATCCTGTATCCTAACAGTGAGCTTGACACATAGGCACAGTGGAAAGCCAGAAGCATAGCCAATGATTCTTGACTCACCACCATTTTCCAGGCAGATTTAGCCCAGTGGTCATATATGATTGAAATTAAGATACAACAAATTAAGCCAATGGTTTCTGAAGTGTAGGATGGCAATAGCTTCACTCCCATTGTAACACGTGTTCTCTCGTCAGTGAAAAGGTGACGCGAGATATTTTCAAAAATGCATTTGGGTCTTCGTGTAAGACATCTGTTAATTCTGTGATTTTAACAAGAACTGAAATATGGCAACAGACCATTATTTCACACAGTTCTGATTACCATAAGTAAAAAGTAAAAGTAAAGTTGTACCTGTCTTGAAGATATATACCAGTGTAGAGGCAAAGCTCCACACATTCTTAACCTGAAGACTAGAAGGAAATGAGTGACCCCTTTCACACTGTAGTCAATCACTTTAGCTTGAGGGAAATAGCTGTGTGTATCCTTTGGATATGAGGCTGGGTGGGTTCCAGAACTGGTTTGACAGTGATGAAGAGAAAAGTTTATGGCCTTATCAGAAATCGAACTCAGGTCACTTTGCTGACTAGCTTGTTACATAGACTAAGAGTACCACATGCTCTATGTGCAAGCTGATTACACTGATATTCTCCTTTAATACAAAGAAAGAGACTAACCTGAACACTCGAGTGTCACATCGCAGCACCTGAAGAGGATCCAGTACAATATTTTCCTGTGTAAGGAACACGTTCTTGACAGCAGCTGACTCATATAGCAAGGCATTAATGGACATAACCCACAGACAGCGAGGTAACACTGTATTCAGTCGCAGCCACACCTGTTTGTATAGCTCTGCAAAATGATCCATATTCATTTTGAATTGTTTCATTTTGGTCCGTTACACTATCAATCACAAAGTTAATAGAAAGTCTGTCGAGTGTAACAATTTGTAGGTCACTTTTTATTCTTATTTCTGCCTTACATGTTTCGGTTTGACACAACCCTCATCAGAGGCACTTGCTACAATTATGGAAACACTGTCGCTGTTTTTTTATGTTCACAATTATGTTTGTCGTGTGGACGCTGCTACGATATGTTGACGTGTAAAAGCACAAAACATGCTAAGATAGTTGAGTACACTCTCAAGTTCTCACTTTTCATCCGAACCTATTTTTTAAGTTAAAACGCTAAAATGTTAAAATATTTGATATAAATGCTGAACTCCTCCTTGTCAAAGTATTGTTGGACTATAACAATGGAAACGGTGTTTTCTATGTGGTTCGTGGTGAAGTGTAACAAGCAGGGTCAATCAAGTTCTGGAGTAGGAGTTATCAGCAGTTCAGTTGAGTGAAGTGATGTGAAGTATCTGTTTGGTGAGAGGGTTCAGCTTAAAGTCAGCCTGTGAAGATAAGACTAGGAGGTTGGTGTGAAATGGCTGCCAGCCTTGGGACCCAGTTGAGTTGTCAGTTGACAAGAGTTCTCCATGGGCAGCTGTGACAAGAGGACCTAAGTGCAAGAAGTTGAAGAACCTCCCTCAGTAGAAGCTGTTGCCAGGAAACAGCTAGTGGAGACTATAATAGACTGAGGACACTAGTCTGTGTGTCAGTAATCTGTAAAGTGTAATTCTGAGTAGTGTATACAAGTGGTCAATAAATCCATTCACCAATCCATATCCTATCAATAGTCACACACCCCAAAAAATGTAACAATACTGAGCTAATAAGGCCTTATTTTATTACTTAATAATTCTTTGTTGTTTTTAAAGAGGAAAAGGCCTCCATTTCTCTTTCGGAATGATACACAGTAATAAATTTGCCACTGGGAAGAGGGATCATCAATGTCCCAGGTCATCTTGTAGTCTAGAAAACATGGTACATGATAATAGCCCACTTGTTTAATTTTGCAATGAATGTGTAGGAAAACTGATCCTTCAGTTTCCATTTGGCACTAAAGAAACTAAAGCAGGGTGTGCTGTTTTTCTTGTGTCTGAACTTTTATCCACATTGACAGAGAAGGCTTTAACAGAATGACCATTTAAAAATTTTTACACACACACATATATATGAAATGTTTTCTGAAGGAAACTATTCCATGTTCAAGGGCCAAACATGCTACCCATGCACCACATGTTGAACATGCCAGAAAATATTCTCTAGAAATAAATACCTTGTATGTAGCGAGGCACTTTGTCATCAAGCATAGATTTGAAGAATTTTATAATTGTTTCAGCATATGGCCATATGTCAGTTGCAGGCATCGACAGGAGCTGACGCAAAAGACGTCCTGTTCTTAACGGACATGACTGGATATGACTGAATGCTACAAGAAAATGTAACATAATATGTACTTAAAAAGTCTTTAGTAAGAAATTTGGTAAGCTGTAAAAATAATACTTCTCTGTAATCACCCATTTTCCACTTATTTGGTTTTTTTTGGGTCCAAATATTTTCCACAGCACTTTGTTTTTAAACATTTGCAAATTATGTCTTCCCATTATGTAAAAGGCCACATTTTGATATATATACAGATCTGAAAATATCGATGGAAATCAAAATTTCCATCACTGTGAAGTCTGATAGGTATGCTTTATAACACAGCACCATATCATGCAAGTTATGAAATAAAAATTCACAAAGAATCATGTCTGATCCTTACTGCGTAAGGGACAGTAACACATAGAAATCATATTTTCACGTAATTACATAAGATTCAAGGTACACTAAAATCAAACCAATACGAATGTTAATGTCTATTTTAATACTATAATCATTATTTTAAGAATGGATGAGGGGAACCATAACACAGTTTCTTACAAACATTGGGTTTTTAAAAGTTAGCCTTGATCATCCCAGGTTATACAGTCTGTAATAATACGTACGGAAATACGTAATGCATAAAGAAGGTGCTCAGTGATAAGAACAATCAGTACTTCATTACTTTTCCAAACATCATATACGTAACAGAAATTTGTCTTAGCATGGCTAGGTAACAAAAATAACCACTGTACCAGCAACCTCAGTGGCCTCCGTAACGTTCTCACCTCATGACTCAAGGTAAGTGGGTTCAAACCCGGTGGAGGTCGTGGAATTTGTAAGGGCGGAAAAATTCAGGGAAAAAGTCCTCCAGGAGGGACTTTAAGCCATGTGTCCCATGTTGTAGATTTATGGCACATAAAAGATCCTCATGTCTCTAGGAGACCTCTGAGCAAAATTAGGCAAAGTTTTCCGCCCAAGTAGTTTCCAATTCTTCCGGTAGATGGGGAAGTATCGGGGACCACTGGCAGAACAGGGCTGATAGCGAGCACCAGTACTGGAAGGGCATGGTGACTGGTAGAATAATTAAAGGGGGACGCACTATAGATTAACAACTTGTCGCAGTGCATGGGGAAACCCACCCCTCCAAAATAATAATAAATAATAACCAGCAACCTCAAAACCAGGAACATTATTACCTTCTATGATGGCTTCTTCACTGACAGGTGCTTGTTCATGTTGGCTGCCCATCTCCATCACCATCCCCTCTTCCAGCCAATCATCAACTAGCGAAAGATGAGGGAAATGCATTGCAAGCAATCGAAGCAGTGGTGAGAACAATCCTGCAACATTATTTTACACCTATGAATCTCGTTTAATGTTAGGAAATTTAAAATATATATTATATGAAGTGCAATATGGTAACTACAGTAACTTTCTTGAAGTTATCAATAGAAAGCCATGTGCTCTGCAGCAGAAAATGGAAAACAGATAAAATGAAAAGAAACACTGAGCAAGACATGGCAACGCTACCACAAAGCATAATGTTTCTTTTTAATAAAACATGGTTTCAAACCACTGACATATGATTAACATAGTTATAAATATGACAAAAAAAAAAAAGGGGGTTGAAATTCAGGTAATGTCTGCTACCAATCAGTTCAGAACCTTTTGTCTTCTCGTCTGCTGTCTATAAATATAAAAATTAGAATTCACAAAACTAATTTTGCTTGTGGTTCTGTATGGGTGTGAAACTTGGTCTCTGACATTAACCCTTGACATACGGACTTTTAAATTGCCGGGAGCCCTCTGTGGCCAGTATTTAAATCACCCTAATTAATTAACATTGCACACTTTCAGAAAAAAATACATATTTTCTGTTCTATGCAACATAGAAATGAACTAAAAACAACCTGAAAGACAATAAAATTTTCTACATATACACAAAAGAGCAATGTTTACGAATGTGATTATTTTCTCATGAAATGCAAAACAGAAGAATCTTCATTTAATGTGTTATGAAATTCCAAAGGACTTGCCCGTTGTTTTTTCTTCAACCTTAAATCATGGTGATATTGTAAATATAGTCACACTATTCATTCATTCATTCATCAGTAATCTGTCAAGACGACAGGTCCACAGTCTCTTCCAAAACAGTTCCACCACTTGATGCGATCTAGAGCTTTCTCCTTCAAATGAGAATATCCTCTTCTGTCCCCAAGGTCATCCAGCATCTTCTTACGTCTTCTTCCTCGTCTTCTGATCACTTCTATCTGCCCCTCTATCTTTCCTTCAATAACTTCTTTTAGAGGGCAGTTATCGCATAAGGTATGACCAATCCAATTAGCCTTCCGTTTTCTTATTTCGTATAGGATATTCCCAAGGACTTTACAGAAGTTACAATGATTGCCTTAAAGAAAAAGACAAAAGCTACAAAATGCAGCGACCATCGCACAATAAGCCTTACTGCACATACAGCAAAGATAATAGCAAAGATACTTAAAAGAAGAATTGAAAGGAAAATAGAGGATGTACTTGGAGAAGATCA